ATGTGATGATTCATTTTATTAAATGAGTAACCAAAAGATAGCCATGTGGCGAGACCCACCTTGCTGACCACATCAAAATGTGTGAACATTACCACTATCTATTGATAGCTTGTTTAGCAAAATGAGCTGCCACCTCATGACCCATCATTCCATCTCTCTATATACATATACATGATATCCTTGTCATGTGAGAGGATTCTCTCATATAAAATGACATGACTCAATCTCCACCGAGTGAATAAAGGAGAGAGAAACCCTGATAATTACACTTGGAAGAGATTAGTTCACATCAGTGTATACGAGGGAATTTTTAGCTTTCTCAAATATATATTTATATATATGGAAATAATGGGTATGAGGTGATACTTCTTTTTGCTAAATGAGCTACCAAGAGATAACCATATAGTGGGCCTACCTTGTTACTCACGTCAAAATGTGTGAACTTTATTACTGTATTTTTTGATAGCTGGTTTAGCAAAATGAATCCCAACATCATACCCATCATTCTCTCTCTATATATACATATGAATGTTAATAATGTATATCATTGTCGTATCCCTCATATAACAATGACGTGACCCAATTTTCACCAAGTGAATAAAGGAGAATAGAGAAACCCTCATAGTTAATCTTGGATGAGATTGGGCTACATCATTGAATATGATGGAATTCCATCATATGACATTTTGATACCCATTTATCTTCGTATGTGTGTATACACACACATAAAGCAATGATATTATGAGATGGTGAGCTCAAATCTTATCGTGAGCTAAACTAATTGGTTTATCAAATTTATGATCGGCATCGTATATTTTGTTCAACATGTCATCAAATATATATGATAAAATTTTCACGTAATTTGGAGTCTTCTAGAATATAAAGTAAACTAGTTTGATATGTTAATTTTTAAGGCAACTTAACTGTCGTCCCTTCTACACATAGCTGAAACAATAATTAAAAATTTCAAACAAATATAATTTTGTTACACAACCAAAAAAATAACTTTTCCAAGTAGCCTATTGGGCTAGCTTACGATAAGAATCTAAGTTCACCATCTCATTTTATTATTTTACTATATATATATATATATATATATATATAGTATATATATATAATATATATATATATAGGAAAAGTGTTCATAAAGTGACACTTTAAGATTCAGTCTAAAGTAGTCTCCTCTTGATTCATGAATTAGACTATTTTATTGATGTGATCCACTCTATTCAGTCGTGATCGGGGGGTTATGGTGTTATATGGGTTGGTGTAATTTTGGAGTAAGTGAGATAATTTTTGAGACTTTATTTTATGGTGTTATTCATTGGGACAATGGGATTGAGATTTCACTTTAAGGTGTTATTCATTGGGACAATTAACCCTATTTTTTCTAAATATATCCCACTTTTATACAAACTTTTTTGTCCCAACCTTCAAAAATTACCCCATCCTTAGCTTTGGGATAATCATGAAGAAAGTGGGATAATTTTGAAGCACTAATTTACTAAATATCTAATAAATATTAATTGTACTATAATATATTTTAATTATATTATATTATAAAATTCTATTATAACGTAAGATAATAAAATATTATATAATATTATCTAATATAACATTATTATATATCATTATAATATATGTTAATAATATATTTCATATAATATAATATTAGTATTATATTATTATAATATGTTAAACTAATATTTTAAATAATATTATATTGAATTAAACAAAATATTATTATATTTGATTAAATATTATATTATTGAAATATTATATTAAATATATTGTTTGCATATTATATCAATTATTATATAATATATCATATTATTATAATATATTATATTATATTAATTAATAACATTAAATATAGTTATAATTAATTAGTAATTATAATATAATATATTATAGTTTAGCATAAAGTTAAATAATGTATTATATTATAATAACATACCAAATAATATGCTAAACTAATTAGGTGAATTAATTTAGACTTAATTGATAGATAAATATTGTACTTTAATAAGGTGTCACATCATCAATTATTCCACATGAATAGTCAAATCTAAGCTTCAAATTGTCCAATTATCCTAAATTGTCTCACTTTACACCATTCAGAATATCTCAAAGGGATAAAATTATTCCATTGGAACAATTATCCCACTTAGCCCCAACTTGTCCCAACCAATAACCCCCCCTAAATATCTCAAAACATGTATAAAACAAAAATCATGATGAATAAATATTTCTAACACATATTTTTCATTCTCTTTAGTTATATTATCGTAAAACCGTTAATTTTACAATTACTTGATATATGAGTAACTACAACCCAATATGGCTAATTTTTTGTTTGTATATAATCAAGAATATATAAATCAAAATGAACGGAGTGGATCGAATAATTTGAGAGCATGTAATGTAGTTTTGAAGGCGCTACTTTAGATTGAATCTAAGGTGCAATCTTGGACACTTTTTTCCCTTTTCATATTCGCTTAATATATATATAGTATATATATATATATACTAGAGAGAGAGAGAGAGAGAGGAGAGAGGAAATGGAGAAACTTGGTACTAAGTTGAAAAAATCCAAACAAACTTGGTAGGTGATGTGCACTAATCTTATTCCTATATCTACATTGGAGTTGGTGAAGGGGTGGTTGGGGCTCTAGCTTCGAGATGTGCATGCTAGGCGGCCAAGATTATGCCACATCACTGACCAAGTTACTTTTAAGCAACTGGTACCAAGGTTCTCCATTTTTCTCATATAATATATATATATACTATATAATATATTATATAGTATCATATATATATATTTAAAGAATATGATAGTTGAGGAGATGATCCACCAACTAGATGTGAGTGAGATTATTGCGATGGAAAGATAAAATCTCCATGTGACACTTTTCTCTGTACTTTTACAACCTTAGATTGTGGATTTGAGATGCATCCATCTTCACTACCAAGCCACCATTTTGTGATTGCCTTACCAAGCATACCGCATCTCTCTCTCTCTCTCCCTATATATATATATATATATATATATATATATATATAATATAATGTGTGTGTGTATTGCTCTACTGATGCCATGGTGTCTTTTAAAGGTGATGTTGCACAAGAATGCCGACAGACACAAGCATTGCTTGCTCCTCCTCGACCACTGTCTATTCGTAATTTATTTTGCACCCTTAAGAAGATAAGGTATTGAAGAATCTCAAGTTTTTAGCTACGCTTCTATATTTCAATGATTTCATTAAATCTGACAACCGTCTATGATTGAACTATTGATGTTAAATTCATTTCTGTGTTCCCTTTCATGTCATGTATAGTAATATTTATCCCACCTTTTGTAATTGGGTTGTCAAATCATCATGTTTTATTCGTTAGTATCAATGTTTAAAAGAATGCGTATGGTAACTTGCTATTTCACGTTATGTGACCGCAAACTTTAAACATTAAATAACATTTTGAATTTACTCAAGATACATGATAACGCTACGCTATTACGAATTTAGTGTACGTTATTTCAATACGATGTGCATTATTTCAATATAACATGTATTGTTTTGGTATAACATGATAACTATGAGTATTTTCTTTGTTTTTTACGTAGAACTTGAAGTACTTTTGGATTGCTTGTTTAGCATTTGTGGCTTATTTTGTTGAGAATTGGGATAATACTTTTTATAATTGTGATTTAACATTTAAAAATTGTGATGATTTTATTTATTAAATAAATCATTGTGAATATTTTGTGTTTATGAAATTTTAATTAAATAATAAAAACAAGTAACCTACATTATGCATTGTGTTGCATTTTGCATTCTTGGGGACCGAGAGTTTTGTTGTGCATTATCGTTATTTTCAACCTTGGTAATATGGTGGACCTTGATGGTAGCCCATCGTTAGCCATTATTAGTAGACATGTTGAAATATTGTATGTGCTATTTGGACTGCCCTCTTTTTCTTCTATGTGATTCAGTTTAGCTTATTGGCTTGTTCCATTTAGTCTTTGTTTAGATGCTTATTCATTCTTAAGGGATGTCGTCCTTTGTTGCTTTACCATAAAATATAGGTGTATGTACTGGACAACTTAGCCAGGTCCATTCGGATTAGAGAATGCTTAGATACCATTGTGGATGATGGTGGTGGTGGCGGCAAATATGTTTTGACCTGCCAACCTGCCACCATGAGGCCCATACTTGCGTTTCTAACCAGGGATCTTTCTAGCTAGGGTTGCATCCGTTAATTTACAAGTTGTGAAAGTTGGCTAGTTGCTGTGAAAATTTTAAGTATGCTCCTCACTTCCCTTTTGACGTGGAAAGAAGGTATGAGCATATGTGCAATGAATATCTATAGTTATGACACAAATAATACTAGCAATAACCTTCTTCTTTCCCCCTATTTTAAGTCTTGATTCTGTCTGCATGCTTGAATAGTTTGTCATAGGATCAGAACTTAGCTATATTGAATGCTCATTTACTTTTTAACTTTTTGCTGATCAGAGATTAATTTGAAGTTAATGGATGATACTCAACCCTGATCCTTGCGCGTTTGAATTTTACCTGGTACCCATAGCGTGAAGTTGTTGTGCGTATCACCATAACTCTTTAGGTTGGGGTACACAAACTAAATAAGTGATGGTTTAAACTTTTAAGTCTGTATACTGTTGTCTACCAAATTAGAATTTATACACCACATCCAATTTGAATATATGAATACTGACTTGCATTGTAAGAGGTGGATTACTTGCGGTTTAATTAACGGCAAGAATTTGCTAATGGTTACGTGTGGCCATTTTATGATGGTATTGCTTGATTTACTATAAAAGTGTTTGCTAAAATACTTCTTATATATCGACAATAACTTCAAGAAATAAGCGTGCTTGATCTTGATGTCTTCTTTATAATATATTTTGCTTCTCTTTTAGCAGTCTAGTCACATATTTTTTCCCTTCTTTTTTTGTGTACTTCATCATTACATCATTGGTATCATCATTATGTTAGTTGTTTTAGTTTTCAGTTGTCTTCTTTTTCCTCTAGTTATTTGTATCAACAATGTGAACAAGAGTATTTCTTCTTTAGTGGTAACATAGTGGTAACATCAAGGAATTAAATGCCACCATTTAAGCTTTAAATGTTCGATTTTCTGAAATTGATCTCTAGAAGGAGCTCTATATTCTCCATTAATCAAGCAAAACAGCCTACCTAGGATAGAGCTGTATATAATGATTATTTAGTTATGGTAGTTGGATGCTACTATGTTAATGATGAGATCCTTTAAATTTCAGAAATTTAGGATTCACTATCATGACTATCTACTTGTACTTTTATATGAATGGCACATAGGAAACTCCTAGAATGGCCTGTATAATTGGCTAGACACGTCGTTCATTCATGTCCATCCCCATTTAATACTTGCAAACATATAAACACATTTAAATATATGTAAGATGAAGCATGTTATTCTTTCTTTTGCTTAAAAACTGTTTGTTTGGTCAATCATCTCATTTTAGGTTCTTTTGTATTATTGGATAATGAATAACGTAATACATATATCTATATGAGTAGATATACATTGTCCAATGAAACTCATATGTAGCCGTATCGCTTGTTTGGAGTTTGGAGGATTGCTGGATGACATCCCCTATCCATGTCTACTAATCATGGAATATAATGTACGCATGGCAATAACTTCAAAACTTGAGAGAATAAAGTCAGTTTCTTGCCATATGTAAAAGAATAAAGTCATATTTTGAAATTTGTAAACATTATACACACACACACATACATATATGTCCAGCACAAACATCTACTCTCGCTATGGAGCTATAGGTCTAATGGGGAACTTTGATGACTAAAGTATGTAGATTCATAGTACATCTTCACATTTACACCCGAGTGTTGCATATTTTGCCTTTTTAAATACTTTTATTGAGTATATCCTGTTTGTTGGAATGCTATCTTCCATTCAGATTGAACCTTCTTCCATGTTTGGTTGACATGTGTGTGTCTTTTTGTTAGTCCTGAAACAGGTAATGGAAGTGCTGTAAGAAAGAAAAATCTTGTTGTACGTATTATGCGTTCTTGCAGAGAAATGGAAATGAAGTTTGTTGTTCGCACTTTGGTAAGACGTTTAGTCCTTTTCTTGAGAATACCTTCTTTTGGTGTTCTTCTGTTTATTCAATTTTAGATTAATTGATTAGCTAGCATTATATGGTTTATCAGGGTCATGACAGCTAGCACCTCATTCCTTCTCAAATTCATGTTAATCTAGATCATGACCCAAGAACATGTCAGTCGTTGTATATGTATGAGATGGAGCCTCATGCATATACATGGCTTACGTAAATAAGCTAAAATTCACATATTCACATGATACCAAATAATAATCCAGAGCCGAATCATATTGACTAAATCAAACATGGTTGGAACAAAAAATGAAAACCTAGACTTTCTATGATTTCAATGGAGAAACAGAAGTCCTTGGTCTTATAATTGTATTATCAAATAAAATAAACATCATGTAAACCTTGAAGCTTATACATGCAATAACTACTATACATTTAATAACTACCATATACTAATGTTGAAAATAACGATATCATGTGATGACAACTTAGACCTCTAGATACCTTAAAGCACATATACATAATACATTGCATAAATTACATGTTTTCTAGTTTTTAATTTAAAATAGACCTAAAACCTCCTAATCTTATTAAATATGACTATAAATTACAGGAAAAGTGAACCATAAACAGTTTGTATATCTACAACATTTGAGTAGTAGCTTTTCCATGCTCAAGCTAATTTGAGATGCATAAATACTCAGCCTGCTTTTTCCCTCTCAATGATGACTATATATGTATATATAGGGTGTGAAAGCTGAGCTTTATTCATAACCAAAGTAAGAAGTTAATTACGAACACATCTCTAAACTGTGTATCACTATAGTTAGAGCTTTACATGAAGCTACTAACTAAACAAAACTCCTACTCCATCCAAGCAAGAAACAAACAAAAGGCCTATTTTTTTATACAATTCATAAAAGAAGAAACAAAAAGCAAAATACCTCCTTAAGCTCCTTAAACAAACTTAGGCCGAATGCCAAAATTTGCACACCAATGTCTTCTTTATAGTATCAATCATAACCTTTACCTTGCTCAGTTGGTAAGGAAGAAAATAATCTGCTTCACAACTTCATCCATATTAGGCTTTAAATTTCTAAAATTAGCCTATTTCTACATTGCTATATAGCATAGATACAAGCAACTAATGCTGTTACCTTTAGCTTTACATGCACACCTTTGCCACCCTTTTTTCTTTTGTTGCCCAAAGTATGAGTACATTCTACTACAAGGGAGTCTGGTTATCTTGAAAAAATATCAATACAATATCAATACAACAATCCAGACTTCCCTACTAAATGAAAAACTGTGTTTTATTAGTCTCATCATGTCCTTCACAAAACGGACAGAAGGGATTATATCCATTCCTCTTCTTCTCAAGAACATTTAGTCATAATTCTATTATGGCAAGCCAACCGAAACAAAGGAATGTCTAGGTAGATTCATAGTACTTCATACAAGTCTTCTCCATGGCATTGTGCAGTCGGAATCAAAGCTTTATAAACACCTCTTGAACTAAAAGACAGATCATGTCCTATCCATTGAATATCTCCTAGAAGATTTGTAACTATTGTATTGACCTCTTGCCTTGGTTTCAAAATTTTCTTCTTTCCTTAGCTTCAAAATTTTCTGCAACATTCATGACTGAGATTGTTTACATTGCGAACTCCATATCGCATTCTGTTATACTTGTACCATGAAGCCATCTAAACCACAAGCTATCACTCTTCAAAGTTAAAGCCTACAAATGTTTCGTCATTATTTTATTTGTAATTTTAGCATCATGAAAATCTACACCTCCATAAGTATTAGGTAAGCATACAATTTTCCAAGCAATTAAGGTCATTTTGTGATTATTATCATCCCCACTTCATAAAAATCTCATGCATAAAGCTTCCACCCTCCTTTATAACTTTCTTGGGTAGAGTATGGATGACCATTACGTATGTAGACTAAGCGATATAGAATTTACCAACTGAACTTTTCCAGTACAAGAAAGGAATTTATTGCACCCACCCTTAATCCTTATAAGAAGGTGATTTTGATGTTAAAGGGTCATCTAGATACCGTATTGGCAATACTCCTGAACGATGTCTAATGTTAGAATATAACGTTATAACCTTCAACTTTGATCATAACTTCCTAGTTTGGTGTAGTGAAAGAGACCTTTAATATGGTATCAATTTATCAGAACAATTTAGATTCAAATCCCACTTGCAGGGAAAACAAGTTTTAAATAAAAGTTGCCGCTACATGAACCCAACTTTTGGTCTATAAAAATGGCATTTAACTTAGGAGAGGGCATGCTAGGATTTACAATTATAATCCAGATCTCAACTTTGGAGCTTCAGTGAGGATTTGATCTATGTAGACATAGCAAAAGCTATGTCTAAACGTTGGACTATGCTGGACTATGCTTAAAAGATGCCTCTTTATTGACGCTCTGGGTCCAGTTGAGCTCTACTTTGAGAGACTAAAAGAAGTGGAGATTTGGGTGGATAACATTGCTTTGCACTTTGTTTGCTTGAGTGTAGATCAATGAAGGGGAAGCTGATACGAGGATTAGATTCAAGACACATATTAGAGTGTAAAATTCTAACCCTCAACCATCGTTATGACTTTGGAGTTTTGATATACTAGCATATATCTGAACAACTTAACATTGCATCAATGCACTTCAAATTTAAATCCCACTAGCCACAAATTTAAAGTGGATTTTAAAATAGTAGATATGCTATGTGAATCGAGGTTTCGGCCCCATGAAATGGATGCTTAACATGCGAGGCCACACTAGAGTATAAAATTGCATCCCTCAACTAGAAATATTTCTCAGTGACTGCTTTGGGCAAAGTCTTTCTTTTGATAGTCATTCATGAAAGATGGATCCAACTTGACGATTGATGGAGTGAATAGATTTGTCCTCTCTCTTGAAACTCAAAATTCATGTGTAACAGGCATCTTATCACCACAACTTCAGAGTTCCCGTTTAGTGGAAAGGACCTTTAGGATCTATAATTTGTGATTATCTAGGACACCCTAACACGGCTGCTGGGGCTCTATACTTGTGTTCGATGCGTTTCAGGTATGGATGAATACCCAAGCACTGAGACATGGCCATGAATTTTTTTGGGTTCAAAGGAAGATGAAGAGGGGTGAATACTAGGAAGAAAATAATAAAAAAGGGCTCTTGGGTATTTGAGAGAGTTTTTTAATATTTCTTTAGAGGAGTGGGGATCACTTGGTGACCTTTTGCTTGAACTGTTGGCTATTTGTAATTTTTTTACTGCTAATATGTCATCCTCCCATATGATCAAGCACATGGGACCAGAGGCCATTTAATGTTTGAGAGGATTTGACTATTTATCTTTAGTGGAAGAGAGAGAAGATGCTGTGCTTTCTTATAGATGGGAAGACATCTCAAACCCCTATAGAGTGTTTGGAAATACGCTAAAACTCTATGAACGAAATTTTTTTATAAAAAAGCATAAATTTTTTATACTACTAAAGTTATAAATATAGAGTATCTCCTAAATAATTTGTATATTCAGCCGTGTCCATGTAGCCTACTTTTTTTAAGTTTGTTGTGTCCCGTACCCATACATACTCACATCTATGTAGCTTAGGTGATTATTTTTGTACAATTACGTTGAGTACTGAATCATTCACAAAGCTAGCTAAATTATGTCTATTTTACTCGACACATCCATTGGATTGTGTTGCTAGTATCTTTGAAGAATTTGTATTAAAACAATTGTGTACTCCAGGCTAAGGCATGACAAGTTGTGGATTAGATTTTAGTTTTGATTTTTTATTTTTATTTTAGTTGAGATATTTACTTAGAATTGAATTTGTTATGTAGTTAGGAGACATTACAATATTTTATTTGATGCTATCTATAAGTTCAGGTTAGGATTTAGCTTTACTCTTATAAAGAAGGTTGTACTTCTTCATTTTAGGAGAGAAGACTGTTATGTAAGATACCTTGCATGTGAATTACAGCTAATAAGAGGCATATGAGTTACCTACCATGTGAAGTTGGTAGCGGAAACTGAGGAAACTACCTGCCATAGCTTTAATTGGGTTGAAGTTCATGAATTTAACTGCGGGGATACAGTTCGTGTAACTAAAGAGAGTTTGTGTACTTTTCTCATAATATAGTGAATTTTGGGGGAAACCTATATCAAATATCTTATGCTTTTGGGGACCAATACCCAAGGTTTTAAATATCGGATATCGGGGAAATATCGGATGACCAAAATTCATATCGGATTAAGGATATCGGGGAAATATCGGGGATATGTAGTAAATATCGGAATGCCATAATGAATGTTTGCATACATAGTATAATGCATTAAAATGTAATCTCAACATATGTAATGAAATTTAAGCATACAAAATATGAATAATATATGTTTAGGATCACTAATCAACCTTCTAAAATAAACAAAAGTGCAAAGCAACGTTGCAACATTCGATCTGCTTTTTTTAGGGCAAAATGTCATTTGATATAATGGGGAAATCTTGATATCTCGCCCAAAAATTCTTAACACGGTATATTATTTTGCAACAAGCTATATAAAAAGATATATTGGTCCACATATCGGCTAATATATCGGTCATATCGAAGATTTATCACTCAAAATAGCCAAAAAGCGGTAAAGGATATTTAAAGACCATATCAGTTGCGGCAAGCAAGCCCTGTAAAAGGATATATCGGGGATATATCGGGACATGTCGGGGATATTTAAAACAATGCCAATACCTCAAAAACCCATGTGCATGTGTTTGTTATATATGTATATGGACCTAATCTCCTCTCACTTTTTATCATTAGATGTGGTCAAATTATGACACAAAAAATTGGATAATATCATCTCCACTCTTTGAAGGACGATGTCATGCTTCTTTGTTTACTTCCTAGATGTGGTTATTTTTAGAATCAAATCAAATGATTATAAAAGTGATCTATGTAGCTTAGGTGATTATTTTTGTACAATTACGTTGAGTACTGAATCATTCACAAAGCTAGCTAAATTATGTCTATTTTACTCGACACATCCATTGGATTGTGTTGCTAGTATCTTTGAAGAATTTGTATTAAAACAATTGTGTACTCCAGGCTAAGGCATGACAAGTTGTGGATTAGATTTTAGTTTTGATTTTTTATTTTTATTTTAGTTGAGATATTTACTTAGAATTGAATTTGTTATGTAGTTAGGAGACATTACAATATTTTATTTGATGCTATCTATAAGTTCAGGTTAGGATTTAGCTTTACTCTTATAAAGAAGGTTGTACTTCTTCATTTTAGGAGAGAAGACTGTTATGTAAGATACCTTGCATGTGAATTACAGCTAATAAGAGGCATATGAGTTACCTACCATGTGAAGTTGGTAGCGGAAACTGAGGAAACTACCTGCCATAGCTTTAATTGGGTTGAAGTTCATGAATTTAACTGCGGGGATACAGTTCGTGTAACTAAAGAGAGTTTGTGTACTTTTCTCATAATATAGTGAATTTTGGGGGAAACCTATATCAAATATCTTATGCTTTTGGGGACCAATACCCAAGGTTTTAAATATCGGATATCGGGGAAATATCGGATGACCAAAATTCATATCGGATTAAGGATATCGGGGAAATATCGGGGATATGTAGTAAATATCGGAATGCCATAATGAATGTTTGCATACATAGTATAATGCATTAAAATGTAATCTCAACATATGTAATGAAATTTAAGCATACAAAATATGAATAATATATGTTTAGGATCACTAATCAACCTTCTAAAATAAACAAAAGTGCAAAGCAACGTTGCAACATTCGATCTGCTTTTTTTAGGGCAAAATGTCATTTGATATAATGGGGAAATCTTGATATCTCGCCCAAAAATTCTTAACACGGTATATTATTTTGCAACAAGCTATATAAAAAGATATATTGGTCCACATATCGGCTAATATATCGGTCATATCGAAGATTTATCACTCAAAATAGCCAAAAAGCGGTAAAGGATATTTAAAGACCATATCAGTTGCGGCAAGCAAGCCCTGTAAAAGGATATATCGGGGATATATCGGGACATGTCGGGGATATTTAAAACAATGCCAATACCTCAAAAACCCATGTGCATGTGTTTGTTATATATGTATATGGACCTAATCTCCTCTCACTTTTTATCATTAGATGTGGTCAAATTATGACACAAAAAATTGGATAATATCATCTCCACTCTTTGAAGGACGATGTCATGCTTCTTTGTTTACTTCCTAGATGTGGTTATTTTTAGAATCAAATCAAATGATTATAAAAGTGGGAGAGAGAATGTAAGAGAATATAATATTTTCCTATTAGAGAAGGATTGACTAGTCCATGTATATGTCTGTGTACATACGTGCACATGCAGGCATGCATATGAGTGTGGGTACATCCACATGCATGTGTTTTATGTGTTGCATATGTGCATGCACGTGTACATGTTATGTTGAGTGGGGATGTGTTGTGTGCATATGGGTGCGTTGTATGCAGCATGTGAAATGTTTTCTTGTCATTAGATCAACAATTATTTATTTATATATCGATTATATACACATGCACATACATATATATGTATGTACATACATACATACATATATATATATATATATATATACATACATATATATATATATATATATATATATATATATATATATATATATATACACACACACACACACATATGTATGTATGTACATGCATGTATTATAACAGTGATCTAAACACTTGATCATGTAGCAGATGGTTTCAGCTTTCCTTTTGTAACTTTTATTCTTTATCCGTGACGCTGATATTTATGTCATTTACATTAATAGGTCCGGAATCTGCGTATTGGGGCCATGATGAAGACCATTCTACCAGCACTGGGCCAAGCTGTGGTGTTGAACAGCTACTCTACTGCTCATCATATTGGATCTTCTCGAAGTCTAAAGTCAGGGCTTCAGGTTTCGTCTATCATGGAGTGTGTGATGTTCATTATTGTATTTACTGTGTGCTTGATGGTTTACTTGCAATCTGGTAACTTGTGTGTGTTTTAATTTATTGTAAAACTAGTTCTGCTTTTAGTCATTATTAGTTTTGCAAATTACTTTGCTAATTGTGGAGGGGATGAGTATAATAAGAGCATTTTTAATTTTATTTTAATACTTTCCTGTGTGCCCCATGCGTTCTTTTTATATTCTTTGGAGCTTCGCTATGGTAATTTAATAAAATATATTAATTTCTGTGGTCGAGCAAGTGTATGTCAAATCAATTGCCTTATATTTAGTATACTGACACAAAAAATATCTCTTTCTTTGCTAGGTCATTTCAGAAGAAGTTACTGAGGCTTATAATGTAATTCCAAATTTGGTACGTGATCTTCATTTTCCCCTAATTTTTCTTCTACTATTTATCATTACCAAGGTTAATTCTTTTGGAGGAACTATTAAGTATAAACTTGTATCATGATGTGAATCTTTTTTCTGTATTATCTGAGTCTGGTGGAGCTGCGCCCAAGTTTCTATAAAGCTTTATAACGTCGTTGACTATTCTTCTTTCATGTTTGCTGCGCCCAAGTTTCTATAAAGCTTTGTAACGTTGACTTTTCTTCTTTCGTGTTTGCTTAAGTGAACTATCGAACAACATGTCATGCAATTTTAAAAGACACGAACCCCCAACTATGTGAGAGTTAGAGACTGGTAGAATATCAGTCTCATCTTCCTAGGCTTCTCAGCAAATTGGGATCACTGTTCAGTATGATTCAAATTCAAGAATGTTCCACTAAATAATTAAGGTACTTTTATTATAAATTTAGAAGTTTGTAGCCCTTTGTAAGTTATTGCTAAATACCTTACCATGTTGGTTATAAGCATGAGTTGGAAA